TTCCTCGACCCTGAGGGGCACTGGGTGGTCAGCACCCAGAGCACGCACTACAGGAACTCCAGGACCGAGGTGGAGACGCTCCTGCGCCAGCGCATGAGGGGCCTGAGGAGCGTGAGCTTCCAGCTGCCCTGCGAGGAGGACGTGCTGCAGAGCGCCTTCGAGGACAAGCCGCTCTGCGTGCCCCGGCAGCTGGCCGAGCTGCTGCAGCTGAGCGTGGAGGAGGTGTGCGCGGACTTCGACGCCATGCTGCGCCACGACTGGAGGCGCCTCGGCATCTCCGCAGAGGAGGTGCGAGAGTTCTGCGTGTGGCGCAACGCCCCGATGCGCGTGCTGAGCTCGCAGGGCGACCTGGTGGACAGCTACGACCCGGCGCTGAAGGAGCACCGCACCGTTTGCTTCTTGGCCTTCGACGGGCACTGCTACATGTACAGGGCCGTGAAGCGGGTGCTGGAGCGGCAGGCGCGCGTGCTGTACCGGGGCGAGGCGAGGCAGACCCTGCCGCCCATCCAAGAGTGGAGGCGCTTCGACGCCGCGGACGTGCAGCCGGGGCTGTTCTGGTGCGAGGACCTGCGGGAGGCGCGGCGCCAGCTCATGGCCGCCGGCGAGAGCCCCAAGGTGGCCATCAGCAGCCCGGCGCAGTACTGCGGGCTGAGGCTGAGGCGGGGCACCAGGATCCGAGAGCTGCCGGAGGAGCACGAGGTGCTGCGGAGGTGGTGCGAGGCGCTCAACCAGGAGTACCGGGGCCAGCGCCTGGCCGGCTTGGCGCACGAGATTTTTTTGAAGCTGCTCAAGGCGAAACGGGAGGTGCCCGGCGCGGCGGAGAGGCAGCAGACCTTGGCCGCGCAGGACGGCAAGTGCGCGCTGTGCGGCTGCGGGCTGACGACCGGCACCTGCGAGCTGGACCACGTGGTGCCGGTGAGGCAGGCCTTTGCGGGCAGCGCGCAAACTTTGCAGGCGCTGTGCGGCGACTGCCACAGCGAGAAGACGCTGCGAGAGAGCGCGCAGCCCACGAGTTTGGAGAGCCGCGTGGCCCCCGGAGTCATGGAGTACGTCCGGAGCCCCAAGCTGCCTCCCCTCGTCTTTGAGGCGCAGACGTGCGCAAAGGACAGCACGTACGTCGGCGTGGACGTGGTGCGCTGCAGGCGCAACGGGCTGGCCAACGCCCCCTTCCCCCCTGCCCATCCTGTGCCCGGCGGACGGCGTTGAGCCCGTGGACGGCGCGCTGCCGGACCTGGGCTTTGTGGAGGGCTGCTGCGACGCGAGGCAGTCCTGCCTGAACCTGTTGCCGTACGTGGGGCCCGGCTGGTACCCGAAGGTTTCGCTGGCCGCGATGCTGGACCTGGGCGTCTGCCGCTGGGACCACATCGTGTTGGGCATCTCCGCGCGGAGCCACGTGGGCGCGGCGACGCTGCGGCGCGCGCTGGAGCGCATGGACGCCGCGTGGCCCGAAGGCGAGGAGCACATGGCCAAGCTCAGCGTGAACGCGATGATAGGCCTGTGGGCGCGCAGCACGGAGGTGGTCTACAGCGTGCGCAGCAGCAGCAGCGAGCTGGACGGCGCGGGCGCGGACTTCTCTCAGGCCTTCGCCTACGAGGGGGGCATGGTGTGGGACTTCGTCTACGCCAGGAGGCTGCTGAGCAACGGCACCTACCGCCCCATCCACGACGCGGTCCTGGGCTTCGAGCACTGCATGGTGGCCAAGGCCCGGCGCATCCTGGACGCGCCGCCGCGGTACCTGGCGCAGGTGAAGACGGACTGCCTGCTGACGCAGCGGCTTCCGAAGCGCTTCGCGGAGCGGCTGCGGGCGCTGGAGGCGCTGCGCCACCCGGACGGCACGCCCGTCTACCGCGTGGAAGAGACGAAGCCTTTGCTGGGCGGCAGGGCGCCGCGCATGGAGGCGGAGCGCCCCAAACAGCGGAGGTGGGACGGAGTGGACGACCCCGTGAACCACTGCCTGGCGGGCAACTCCCTGCTGCTCACGGGCCTGCCGGGCACCGGAAAGACGCACCTGGCCCGCACCATTGTGGCGAGGCTGCGAGAGCAGGGCGAGGCGGTGCACCTGGTGTCCAAGACGCACTGCTCCGCGCAGAACCTGGGCCTGGGGGCGCAGACGGCCGACCACTGGGTGCGCAGGTACGTGCGCGGCGGCAGCGCGCAAAAGCTGGACTGGCTGGTGGTGGAGGAGATCACGCAGCTGGACATGGCGCTCTGGGCGGACCTGGCCTGCGTGGGGCTGAACGCCGACGTGAAGTTCCTGCTGCTGGGAGACTTCCGGCAGCTGCCGGCCGTGCTGGACTCCTGGGCCGGGCGGCCCATCAGCGCGCCGTTGGAGCACAGCCAGCTGATCCGCGACCTGGCCGGCGGGCACAGGCACGAGCTCACGGAGAACATGCGCTCCGACCCCGGCATCTTCGACTTCGTGAAGTGGCTGCGGGTCGGCGAGGAGGCGTGCCCCACGCTGGAGCAGGCCAAGGCGAGGCTGAAGGAGCTCTACCCCTCCAAGCCCGGGTGGCCGGACACCACGCTGGTCATCAGCCACAGCAAGCGCATGGCCGTGAACGCAGCGGCGAACCGGGCCCTGGCGCCGGAGGGCTCAAAGCTCCTAGAGCTGGAAACCCAGGTCATCCACATAGATTTGGGTGAAAATGGGTGTGATAAATGTATAACACAAAACAGCCCGCAGAGCATGAGGGTGTGGCCGGGGCTGCGCCTCATCGGGGCCGGCGGAAAAATTCCCAAGGGCGTCTTTGTGGCCGTGGCGGAAGTGGAGCCGGACGGAGTGAGGCTGGACAACGGCATGCGGCTGAAGAACCAGGAGCTGCTGCGGGCCACCCGGCCGAGCCACGCAGTTACCTACGCCAGCTGCCAGGGGCTCACCCTCCACAACCGCGTCCGCCTGGACCTGGAGTCCTGCCACCTCACGCTGCGCCACCTGTACGTGGGCGCCTCGCGGGCCACGAGCTCCGAGCTGCTGGAGGCGGCCTAGAACGGGCAGCACGGCGCCTCCAGGGGCTCCAGCATGAGGTGGCGCACCTCGAAGAGCACGCCCCACTGCCTGCCCATCAGCCACACGTGCCGGGCCTCCACAAGCGCGCGGCCCCTGCGGCGCGCGAACTCCGCGGGGCGCGGCACGCGGTTGCCGGCGGAGTCCCAGAAGAGGCAGCGCTCCAAGTCCATCTTGCACTTCACGTGCTTGCCCTTGGCGCTCACCTTGACGGCGCGCTGCAGCTGGCTCTCAAGCTCGGCGCGGGTGACCCCCGGAAAGGGCTTCTGGAAGATGATCATGTCGTCGACGACGGCCTGCTCCACCCCATCCGTCCACGCCCCCAGGTCGGTGTTGCTCGCAAAGCACACGCCCACCCTCTTGGCCCCGTCGTCCTGGAAGTTGCCGGGCTCCCACAGCACCTCCACGTCCGCCTTGCACACCAGCGCGCCCTGATGGGAGTCCTCTATGGACATGAACTTCCCCCCCTTGGCATTGGTCTGAACGTCCAGCCCGAGTGCAAGCTTCATTGCTCGGCTTTTTTTATCCGTAGGAAAAAAGTCCGGTCCGATGAACGTGCGAGTTTTCTTGGTCGTCGCAGCGGCGGTGATCTTGCTCTTTAAAAATGCCGAGGCTCCTGGAGCTTTTCTGCGGCACCAAGTCGGTGGGCAGGGCCTTCGAGGCGGCGGGCTGGGAGGTCGTCTCCCTGGACATCGTGTCGAAATTTGAGCCCACCATCCTCTGCGACATCCGGAGCTGGGACTACACGACGTTCCCCCGGGGCACTTCGACATGGTCTGGGCCAGCCCGGTCTGCACGGAATACAGCCGCGCGCTGACGACGCGCCCGCGGCGGCTCCTGGAGGGCGACGCGCTGGTGCTCAGCGCCCTTGAGATCATTGCGCACTTTGACCCGCTCATGTGGATTGTGGAGAACCCGGCCACCGGGCTGCTGAAGACCCGGCCGTTCATGGAGCCTCTGCCCTGGGTGGACGTGACCTACTGCATGTACGGGACTCTGTACAGGAAGCAGACCCGACTGTGGACCAACATGCGCTGGAGGCCGAGGCGAGGCCTGTGCAGGAGCGGCAGCCGCTGCGAGGCGTGGCAGGACGGCAGGCACCTCCGGGCCGCGCAGCGGGGGCCGCGGCTGATGGAGGGGCAGTACGAGAGGGTCAGCCAATCACGCGAGCTGCTCTACAGCGTCCCTGCTGCGCTGTGCGAGGAGATTGCGCGCGCGGCCACGGAGGAGCTTGCGGAGCGGCTGAGCATTCCGGACTGATTCTTTAGGCTTCGTCTAATCCGACGGGCCTGGAATAAGTAGTGGTGGGCCACGCCCCGCAAATAAATTGCTTCATACATACCCCCCACCCTACATTTTTTTTCATCTTCCATCTTCTACCCTTATTTGTTTTCATCATTTTTCTACATTCCTTTCTGTCCATCTCATCCATTTTTTTATCATCATTTTTCCAAAATTTTCGCCATCCTTTTCTCCTTTCTCCTCGCCTCATTCATTTCACCATATACCTCTCAAAATGTCATTTCCTCAATCTCCTCACCTCATCCATTTCAAAAAAATAAATTTTGCAAAATATATTGCAAAAAATATTTGTCATCAAAAAAATATTCGAACTGTCTAAAAACGATTTGTCCATTTCCCGGACAAAAAATAGAACAGCAACAACATCACTCTCCTCCTTCGTTTCATCACTTTTATCATATATTTTTTTGGGGCGTGGTGTCCCTTGTAGGATTTTAGGGGTTTTCTGGGGCTTCTGGGGGTAATCCGTCGTGCCGGCACTTGGTCTTCGTCGTCCTCGTCCTGACTGGGTGCGCTTGGCGTGTTCTTAACAGAAGAGAGAAAGAGAGAGAGAGAGAGAGAGAGAGAGAGAGAGAGAGAGAGAGAGCCATTGCAAACATCGTTGAGTGGTTGAGCTGATGCATGAGTGATTGATGCAACAAAAATCATTTGTGAGTAGCGATTTAGCGCCCAAGCATCCAATCCCTTGCTTTCAATGGCAAAGTTGTTTGTGGTGTGCCGTCCTGATGGCTTTTTGCCGGTGATTGCTGAAGCCGGTGATGTCATCACACCAGACAAGCTCCAGCAGGACATCTTCAAGCCCAGCGAAGAGCAACTCAACACCATGTCGGTCGATGAGATTAAACAGCTCTACACCAGTCTGGGCTTCAAGCTCAGGAAGGGCACGAGGAAGTCCGAATTTGTGCGCTTTGTTCTTGGAGACTGGGAGAACACCATGGCTGAGGCACGTGTGCGATTTCTCTCCCCAGTTGGAGTTCCAAATAAGCTCATGTTCTTCAAGAGCAGCGCCGGCTTCTTCAAGCCTTTTCTTGTGGCTGGTGGTCAGGTCTTTCGTGAGGAGTATTTCCAGGGCGACATGGAGAACCTTGAGCTCACTGCCCCCATGTTGCATTCCTTGACCAAGTGTCAGCTTGTGAGGCTCTACAGCACCATGGAAGGCGGAGTTCTTGATGCGAAGTATACCAAGCCAGAAATGGTGGCAAGGGTGCTGAGCTTTTGGAACCACAACATCACGCGGTTTCAGGAGAGCGCCTCCGATGATGCCGAGCCTTCCGCAGGAGATGCTTCACCTGACCTTTCTGAAGGTGATGCTAACAGCGCTTCATCCGACCTCTCCGAAGATGCCACCATTGGCATCCTTGACATCATGGACTTCAACGAGGAGGACTGGTTGACAACACCAGCTGGCAAGGCATACCTCAACAGCCCCGCGTGCTTTGATGACATGCTCACAGTTCGGGTCTTTGACTATGTCGGGGAGCGGTTTTTGTTCAGTGTCGTCACCGACAGGGATGTCACCGGTCAGGGCTTGAAGCGGTCCATCATTGACCACATTGCGTTCATCCAGTCCACGAAGGAAAGCTCTGATGAAGAGCCAATTCTTGGACCGGATGACTTCAAGCTCTCTCGCAAGGCTCGGTTCCAAGACATCCAGCCTGACGATGAGCTCGTTGATGGCAACACCTTCTACATCTGCCTCAAGCTTCGTGGTGGTGCTCCCCGCACCAAAAAGCAAGAGGCAAAGTCCAAGGTCAAATACATGTCCGTGCTGGAGAAAAAGAAGGTTCGGGATGCCAACCTCCAGAACATGAAGCCCTGTGAAATCACCAGCACCCCCGCCTTTGTTGAAAGCAACCGCATCATGGCCAATACTTGGGCACATGGTGAAAAGGATGCGGTGTCAGCCTTTCAGGAGCTCATCAACCACTTGGACATTGACCAGCTTAAGTGTGCTCAGTCCTCAATCGCAAGCAACATGGGTGGCGACAACAATTTCAAGCTGGGCAAGCTTTCAGAGGTGCTCTTCGGTGGCAACATTGACAAAGTCAAGGATGTCAGGGATGTCGCCAGTTCCTTCATGGATTGTGCATCCCTTACCACCAACGCCCTCTTTGAGATGGCGGTCAATCAAGATGACAAGTTTGACATCACCAGTCTCCGCAACATGATTGATAAGATGCTGGTGCGCAAAGAGGGCTTCCAGAGTGGCTACATGTCCGCAGTGAGCCAATCCAAGGCACCGCTACCTGCCCAAGATGTTGCCATGTAAGGGCAGTTCTGCTGGCACACGTGCGTTGATTGTGCCGCTTCGTCACCAAAATCCCTAATTTCACCACCAAAATCCCTAATTTCACCACCAAAATCCCTAATTTCACCACCAAAATCCCTAATTTCACCACCAAAATCCCTAATTTCACCGCTGACATGGCTGATTTCAAAGGTGAAAGTGGCACATTCGGCAATAGGTTCGCACAGACCCAGATGATGGAAAAATGCGTTTTGTCCCAGCACCATCAGCATTTTTGACCAAGCAGTTTTAAGCTTTTTGTGGGACACCCGACGCCGTGCTAGGTTGATGAGCGAGCACGACAAGCTTGGGTGCGCCCCCATTTTGACTGGGGGCAGGGCGGGCTGGCTTGGGTTTTGGGTTTGCTGGTGGGTCCCTCCCTCTCCGTTTTGTTTTTTCCCGCGCAGGTATCTTCAGCGTCTTCTTCGCCTACGAGACCGAGCCCTACTAGGTAAGGACTTGGTCGGGAGGGCTTTTTTTTTTTCTGGGGCGGGGTATATATATATATATATAATATAAGGGGAAACTCTCGCCAATTGCCAAACAGGGCAGGGAAAAATTGGCGAGAGTTTCCTGATATATCTATATGAATATTGGTGTTGTCTAAATTTGATAAACTATGGATATTCCCCTTAAAATTCATTATTTTCAAATTTTAGAATTCCTATTTTTTACTGTATTGTCGTTGGATGAACCTAGAAATTTCAAGTTTCAATCCCAACCCCAAACTCAAAATCCTTAATCCGTCAAACTCACTAAGATTTCACAAATTAATTGTATTGTTGGATTGTCTCCCCAATTTTCCTTGGTGCCCGATGGCAGTCTCTGCGCTGTTTCAATATGTTTATTATTCCTGATGTTGCCACAATCCTTTTTACATAATTCTCTAGGTTTCCAAGTTGTAATGTTATTCCAGAGCCTAGTGCGCTTTCTGTAAGGCATTCCATATTTACAATAATCAACATCTTTAAAATCAAACTCATCCATAAACTCCTGATGTTTTAATAATCCAGTTTGTGGATTTTCGATTACAAAATATTTAGGATTGAAATATTTGATAATCTCAATAGTTTTTAAGACAATATTATTTGCATATTCGATGTTCCTAATTCCCCTAGTTTTTGCTATGCTGTATTCAGTGCATGGGGGACTACTCCAAATAAAATCAAAATGGTTTCTGTCAAACTGTTTGTAATCCCACTCCAAAATATCAGTGTTGATATCAGCATTTTTCAAGTCTAATGAGATGACATTATAACCGAGTGACTTTGCTATGGTTCCTACACTTCCAGTTCCACTAAATAATTCTAATAAATTCATATTATTAGAATTATTTATATTTTAATTTTCAACAATTACATATTTACCATCATCGCCCTTAATTAGTTTATAATATTCTAATGTTTGTTCTTTTGGACTTTTGATTTGTCCCTTATTTAACATATCACAATATTTTTTACGCTTCGTGTCATAATCACCGCTGGGTCTGCCTATCCCTTTCTTTTCAAAGATTTTGTCAATCTTTTCCTTCTCTTCATTGTTATTTTTTGGTTCGTTTGCCTTTGCATCAAGTTTCTGGTCAATAGTTTTTATCATCTCGTACAACAGTTTAACATTTTTACTAACTGTCATTATCTTCTTTGATAGTTCAACAATAACATCATTTTCATTTTCAGACATTACTATATATTTATTTAGATATTTATTTATTTAATTATATATTTTTCATCATTTGTTTAACAGTTTCCTGTGTTTCGTTTTCATTATTATCGGATGGTGTTGCTTGCCTACCAAATTTAAAAGTTATATTATGAACATCCGTTTCCAGATTTATACTGTCTTTAGTTTTATCAATATTCATTTTCTTATCGTTTTTACTTATTTTGAAACTTGTTGGAATACATGAACATTTACAATTTTTATTATTTTTTATTTCTAATTCATTTTTCATTTCTAACATCTTTTTACACATTGGACAATAAAACTCAATTACTGCTGTTTCTTTAACAATTTCTCCGCTATCTTCTGTTGAAGATAGACTTAAACTTGTCTTATTTTTGTTTTTCTTTTTCTTTTTCACCATTTATATTAATATTTACATTTTTATTTTTGATATACTGTATCACAAACTTAATTAATTCTAATGAATAATAACAGCATTTTTTAGTTTTATTATCAGTTATTAGTACTTGTTCTATATTCTCCATTTCATCTATTATATTAATATAATTTGAATAACTCCTTTTCATATTAAATAATAAGACAAATTATTTTTAATTTCTGTCTTTCTTTTCTTGTAAAGTTTTTTCATTATATCGTCTTTATTCCATCTGAATTTTACAAATTTCTGATGATGTTTTGAATTTAGATGTTTAAATAAATATTTGTCATCATAAGTTTTACAACAATTGCAATGGATAACAGTCATATAATAATAAGATAAAATAATTATTTAAATTATTTAATCTTATTATTTTCATGCATGATAGAATATTCGGAGGGCACAGCACTTGGGGTTTTCATTGCACACGCGAGCGAGATACAAACTAATTAGCTTCAATGCTTATTGATTGAAGTTGATGAAAGAGCCTGTTCTACTACGATAGACACCATTCATATCATAGCAATGCTTTCATACAATAAATAATATTAAATTATTTTCTATATATCTTTAATATCAACTATGACAGATGTTCCAATAATAAAACCAATAAACATAACTGAATATGAATTCAAACAATCTAAATATGAGCACGTGCCAAAATTACCATTTAGAAGTATTATAGTCGCGAGTTCAACGGGCGGGAAGACTGTCCTTATTCAAAATTTAATATTGAATGTTTATAGAAATTCATTCGCAAGAATATTTATATTTTCACCCAGCGTCCATAACGACCCTACATTTACAGAAGTTAAAAAATATATCAGGGATGAATTGCACGTGGATGATGAAAAAGAACAAATTTATTTTGATAATTATAATCCAAGTGATTTAGAAAATGTAATTGAAAGACAGAAGAAAATAATTAATTATATGAAATCTAAAAAGATAAAGAAACTACATTCAATATTAATCGTTATAGATGACCACGCAGACGACCCTAAATTTGTTAGATATAGTAAATTATTACATGGATTATTTACAAGAGGCAGGCACGATGCAGTAAGTGTGATTTGTTCAACACAAAAATATAATGTTTTAGCGCCTATCATTCGTTTAAATGCCAGTTCATTATATATTTTTAGGTTGAAAAATGCCAGTGAATTAATGAGTTTTATTGAAGAAAATAGCGCCATTGTTGACAAACAGCAATTATTAGATATGTATCATCAAGCAGTGAATTTTGCTCCATATTCTTTTTTCTACGTGAATATGAATTCAAAAGACATTAACAAAATGTTTCATATCAATTTTGAACAGGCATTTCAAATTACAAATGATGAATAAAGATATTCTAACTTAATATAATATAATAATATGCCAATGAAACTATGTAGATGTGGCGGATTGTATCGTAGAGGTAATTATAATTTTCATACTAATTCTTGGATACATAAACTTTATAAGGCATTGAAGAGGAGGGCAACGGACGAGGAATTATTAAGATTTCAAAATAATTTTGTTGATGAAGACGCTTCGCCAGAGGCTCGCGAGCTTCGCGACGATTTAATAGATGAAACAAATAGCACTGTTTCAACATCAACGCCAAAAAGTGAAAGAAGTTGTATAAGCAATTAATAGCATTAAGCCATGGCTTAATGTTATTAATTCAAAATAATGAATAGCTACATAGATTCAAAGCAGGTAATTTATAATATATTTTATCTTTTTTACATTCATTAACTTTTTCTAATTTATTGATTATTGCTTTCAATGAATTTATTTGTAGAATATCAATTCTTGACATTTCACTTATCGTATTTACATCTATATCTTTTATTACTTTAATAGCCTCTTCATCATCAATTTCTACTGGTTTTGATTTACTTGAACCCATTATATATAATATTATTTAGATTTTAATTTTTCAAAATTGAAATTTTGGTTTTCTTCTTCTTCTTCGTCTTCAGTTGGTGCTGGTATTTCTGTTGGACTTTCAGATGAAGAACTATGAACAGTAATAGGTGGAGAACTATGAACACTAATAGCTTCATTTGATGAATTGCTACTGCTACTTTGTGCATTTCCTGCTGTTATCTGATTAACTAAATCTGCGATATTTATTGTTGTTGCAATTGCGCTATGTGATAAGTTTAATATTATATCTGCTACTGTAGCGCCGTTGTGTAGCATTATTTCTATCATTTTTGTCAGTTTGAACTTCTTTTCTTCTTCATCGCTGTCATCCTCGTCTGGTTTCTTTGGCGGTGGTTCTGGCGGTTTGTTGTTGTCGAGCATTTTAGTAAAGGCTGACACCATTGCGTCACGTTGGTTTTTCAATGTTTGTGTTGCTTGTGTTCTTGTTGGCTCATTTCTTTTGTATGTGTTGCGCCAAAAGTTTTTAAGCATTATTTGAAACATATTGTCCTGGTTTTCCTTTACCTTAAACGCTTCAAATGTCATATTTAATTGTTGATTTGCATCATTGTATAACTTTTCTTGAGTCTCTCTGGTTTCTGTGGCGATTGTATCTGTGTTGGTTGCAATGTCAATAAATTCTCTCGGTATGCCCTTTTTCATCAATTTCGGTGGTTGTATTGTTGTTGAAGTGTTTGGTTTCATTAGGTTATGTATTGTAAAACTGTCGTCATCATATTTATCATTGAATTTCTGCTTCTTTCTTTTCAGTATATTTTTAGTTAATATTATCATTATTATTATTATTATTTATATATTATTTCTTACCTTTGCCCTTAAAACTTGCCTTGAGTTCTTCTATTCTACCTTTGCCTAAATTTACTATCCACCCGCCATTATCAATAGTGTCTAAAATCATATCTACTAAATATTCTTTGTACGTTCTCGCCTTGCCTCTGCCTTT